CAGAGTCAGCCACAGCTTGTTGTGATCCACACAGTCAAAAGCCTTTGCATAGTCAATGAAGCACAGATAGACATTCTTCTGGTATTCTTTGCTTTCTGCCAAGATCCAGCTAACATTAGCTATAATATCCCTAGGACCACGACCTCTTCTAAAACCAGCCTGCACACCTGGCAGTTCTCTGTTAACATATTTTTCCCAACGTCTAACTCAGGTAACCCCGGGGGACACTAGCCAGCCTGCACCCCAACACCATTGCCTGGATCCATTAGGAATAAATAAACCTAGAATCAGTTGAAAGAAGATTCCTATGCAATAAAAGTCAGATTTACAGCCCCACTCCTGGCTCTCCAACTTCTTTATCATTTCTGGCACCACACTCCGTGCAATTGTCTACTCCTCTGCTGGAAAGGTAATTCGTAATCACTGAGTTATTGAACTCTCAGACAGCACTTAGAGTTAAGTGGTTTATGAAGGAAGTAAGAAAGCGATGGGGTCAGGAGCAGAAAGCATGCAGACACAGCCTCCCTTCCTCAATGCAGAACTCCTGCAGCTGTGCACACAGCATGCCCTTCTCTCTGCCAGGCTGAGCTCCTGTCAGCCCCTCAGGACAGGACTGTGGTCATGCACGCCCTCCCTCAGCCTCCCTGCCATTGGCCTCTCCCTGCTAACTGGCACAGAGCGTAGCCAGGCTGGTAGCTTTGCTGCGTTCTGTTAGTGCCTTTCCACCATAAGGTTTTTGCTGCCATCGCCAAGTGCCACAGGGTCCTTTCTGGGTCGTTTGCTGCCTATTCTGTCACAGAGTTTCTTCTCAGACCATCATCACGACTTAGTAATAAAGCCTTTTTCAGATCTTTTCTTAATCTTCAGGGATGCAACTCTTTTAGAAAGTTCTTGATGGCTTCTCTCTCCTGCTCTTCTTTTTTCACTTCTTGTACTGTTTTTCCTTCTCTTTGAAACTTCTGTAAGTTTGCATCGGTAAGCAAATTCCTTGTCAATTTCAAGGCATAGCCTTGCAGGCAGGTCCAATAACTGACCACGCTCCTCAGTTGTTGTTAAACTGGAATGAACCCATAGCTGACCCTCCAGCAGGTTGTCAGGGGCAGTAAATTGCACAGGAGGAGATCGCCCATCTTTCCTGGAGCAGCTGGTGCATTTGAATCTCTAATTTCATTTACATAATCTGTAATAAATTGACCAATCCTTAAAAGATCTGTGAAATAGACCAATCACAAGTGAGGCCATTGTTCAGGGTCAAAGAAAAAAAAGTATTAAGCCAGCAAGTTGTTTACAGTATATCCAGGAAATGTCCATCAATCTGGGAGGGAAACCCAGGAGAAGTTAGGGAGAAAGATATTCTCAAGCTCTTTTTTTTTTCCTGTCAAAGAATAAAAGTAAAACACCACATAGGAACTCATTTTAGCACATTCACAAATGTTTCACTAATTCAATAAGTGTTTTAAAGCTTCATTTCACATACTTTGGGCCTGTTGTTGGGGGGAGGTCTATTCCCTGGAGAGGAACATCAGGCTTGGAAAGGTGAAGGGCAAGTGAAAGATAAGAAACCCTCAGCAGTATGGATTGACACTGTGACGGCAGCGATGGGCTCATCAGA